GACACGGCGTCAGGCGTGGGAGAGAAAGACACGGCGTCAGGCGTGGGAGAGAAAGACACGGCGTCAGGCGTGGGAGAGAAAGACACGGAGTCAGGCGTGGGAGAGAAAGACACGGAGTCAGGCGTGGGAGAGAAAGACACGGCGTCAGGCGTGGGAGAGAAAGACACGGAGTCAGGCGTGGGAGAGAAAGACACGGCGTCAGGCGTGGGAGAGAAAGACACGGAGTCAGGCGTGGGAGAGAAAGACACGGAGTCAGGCGTGGGAGAGAAAGACACGGAGTCAGGCGTGGGAGAGAAAGACACGGCGTCAGGCGTGGGAGAGAAAGACACGGCGTCAGGCGTGGGAGAGAAAGACACGGCGTCAGGCGTGGGAGAGAAAGACACGGCGTCAGGCGTGGGAGAGAAAGACACGGCGTCAGGCGTGGGAGAGAAAGACACGGAGTCAGGCGTGGGAGAGAAAGACACGGCGTCAGGCGTGGGAGAGAAAGACACGGCGTCAGGCGTGGGAGAGAAAGACACGGCGTCAGGCGTGGGAGAGAAAGACACGGCGTCAGGCGTGGGAGAGAAAGACACGGCGTCAGGCGTGGGAGAGAAAGACACGGCGTCAGGCGTGGGAGAGAAAGACACGGCGTCAGGCGTGGGAGAGAAAGACACGGAGTCAGGCGTGGGAGAGAAAGACACGGCGTCAGGCGTGGGAGAGAAAGACACGGAGTCAGGCGTGGGAGAGAAAGACACGGTGTCAGGCGTGGGAGAGAAAGACACGGCGTCAGGCATGGGAGAGAAAGACATGGAGTCAGGCGTGGGAGAGAAAGACACGGCGTCAGGCGTGGGAGAGAAAGACACGGAGTCAGGCGTGGGAGAGAAAGACACGGCGTCAGGCGTGGGAGAGAAAGACACGGAGTCAGGCGTGGGAGAGAAAGACACGGCGTCAGGCGTGGGAGAGAAAGACACGGCGTCAGGCGTGGGAGAGAAAGACACGGCGTCAGGCGTGGGAGAGAAAGACACGGCGTCAGGCGTGGGAGAGAAAGACACGGCGTCAGGCGTGGGAGAGAAAGACACGGCGTCAGGCGTGGGAGAGAAAGACACGGCGTCAGGCGTGGGAGAGAAAGACACGGCGTCAGGCGTGGGAGAGAAAGACACGGCGTCAGGCGTGGGAGAGAAAGACACGGCGTCAGGCGTGGGAGAGAAAGACACGGAGTCAGGCGTGGGAGAGAAAGACACGGCGTCAGGCGTGGGAGAGAAAGACACGGAGTCAGGCGTGGGAGAGAAAGACACGGCGTCAGGCGTGGGAGAGAAAGACACGGAGTCAGGCGTGGGAGAGAAAGACACGGAGTCAGGCATGGGAGAGAAAGACACGGCGTCAGGCGTGGGAGAGAAAGACACGGCATCAGGCGTGGGAGAGAAAGACACGGAGTCAGGCGTGGGAGAGAAAGACACGGCGTCAGGCGTGGGAGAGAAAGACACGGCGTCAGGCGTGGGAGAGAAAGACACGGAGTCAGGCGTGGGAGAGAAAGACACGGAGTCAGGCGTGGGAGAGAAAGACACGGCGTCAGGCGTGGGAGAGAAAGACACGGCGTCAGGCGTGGGAGAGAAAGACACGGCGTCAGGCGTGGGAGAGAAAGACACGGAGTCAGGCGTGGGAGAGAAAGACACGGCGTCAGGCGTGGGAGAGAAAGACACGGCGTCAGGCGTGGGAGAGAAAGACACGGCGTCAGGCGTGGGAGAGAAAGACACGGAGTCAGGCGTGGGAGAGAAAGACACGGCGTCAGGCGTGGGAGAGAAAGACACGGCGTCAGGCGTGGGAGAGAAAGACACGGCGTCAGGCGTGGGAGAGAAAGACACGGCGTCAGGCGTGGGAGAGAAAGACACGGCGTCAGGCGTGGGAGAGAAAGACACGGCGTCAGGCGTGGGAGAGAAAGACACGGCGTCAGGCGTGGGAGAGAAAGACACGGCGTCAGGCGTGGGAGAGAAAGACACGGCGTCAGGCGTGGGAGAGAAAGACACGGAGTCAGGCGTGGGAGAGAAAGACACGGAGTCAGGCGTGGGAGAGAAAGACACGGCGTCAGGCGTGGGAGAGAAAGACACGGAGTCAGGCGTGGGAGAGAAAGACACGGCGTCAGGCGTGGGAGAGAAAGACACGGAGTCAGGCGTGGGAGAGAAAGACACGGAGTCAGGCGTGGGAGAGAAAGACACGGAGTCAGGCGTGGGAGAGAAAGACACGGAGTCAGGCGTGGGAGAGAAAGACACGGCGTCAGGCGTGGGAGAGAAAGACACGGCGTCAGGCGTGGGAGAGAAAGACACGGCGTCAGGCGTGGGAGAGAAAGACACGGCGTCAGGCGTGGGAGAGAAAGACACGGCGTCAGGCGTGGGAGAGAAAGACACGGAGTCAGGCGTGGGAGAGAAAGACACGGCGTCAGGCGTGGGAGAGAAAGACACGGCGTCAGGCGTGGGAGAGAAAGACACGGCGTCAGGCGTGGGAGAGAAAGACACGGCGTCAGGCGTGGGAGAGAAAGACACGGCGTCAGGCGTGGGAGAGAAAGACACGGCGTCAGGCGTGGGAGAGAAAGACACGGCGTCAGGCGTGGGAGAGAAAGACACGGAGTCAGGCGTGGGAGAGAAAGACACGGCGTCAGGCGTGGGAGAGAAAGACACGGAGTCAGGCGTGGGAGAGAAAGACACGGTGTCAGGCGTGGGAGAGAAAGACACGGCGTCAGGCATGGGAGAGAAAGACATGGAGTCAGGCGTGGGAGAGAAAGACACGGCGTCAGGCGTGGGAGAGAAAGACACGGAGTCAGGCGTGGGAGAGAAAGACACGGCGTCAGGCGTGGGAGAGAAAGACACGGAGTCAGGCGTGGGAGAGAAAGACACGGCGTCAGGCGTGGGAGAGAAAGACACGGCGTCAGGCGTGGGAGAGAAAGACACGGCGTCAGGCGTGGGAGAGAAAGACACGGCGTCAGGCGTGGGAGAGAAAGACACGGCGTCAGGCGTGGGAGAGAAAGACACGGCGTCAGGCGTGGGAGAGAAAGACACGGCGTCAGGCGTGGGAGAGAAAGACACGGCGTCAGGCGTGGGAGAGAAAGACACGGCGTCAGGCGTGGGAGAGAAAGACACGGCGTCAGGCGTGGGAGAGAAAGACACGGAGTCAGGCGTGGGAGAGAAAGACACGGCGTCAGGCGTGGGAGAGAAAGACACGGAGTCAGGCGTGGGAGAGAAAGACACGGCGTCAGGCGTGGGAGAGAAAGACACGGAGTCAGGCGTGGGAGAGAAAGACACGGAGTCAGGCATGGGAGAGAAAGACACGGCGTCAGGCGTGGGAGAGAAAGACACGGCATCAGGCGTGGGAGAGAAAGACACGGAGTCAGGCGTGGGAGAGAAAGACACGGCGTCAGGCGTGGGAGAGAAAGACACGGCGTCAGGCGTGGGAGAGAAAGACACGGAGTCAGGCGTGGGAGAGAAAGACACGGAGTCAGGCGTGGGAGAGAAAGACACGGCGTCAGGCGTGGGAGAGAAAGACACGGCGTCAGGCGTGGGAGAGAAAGACACGGCGTCAGGCGTGGGAGAGAAAGACACGGAGTCAGGCGTGGGAGAGAAAGACACGGCGTCAGGCGTGGGAGAGAAAGACACGGCGTCAGGCGTGGGAGAGAAAGACACGGCGTCAGGCGTGGGAGAGAAAGACACGGCGTCAGGCGTGGGAGAGAAAGACACGGAGTCAGGCGTGGGAGAGAAAGACACGGAGTCAGGCGTGGGAGAGAAAGACACGGCGTCAGGCGTGGGAGAGAAAGACACGGAGTCAGGCGTGGGAGAGAAAGACACGGCGTCAGGCGTGGGAGAGAAAGACACGGCGTCAGGCGTGGGAGAGAAAGACACGGCGTCAGGCGTGGGAGAGAAAGACACGGAGTCAGGCGTGGGAGAGAAAGACACGGAGTCAGGCGTGGGAGAGAAAGACACGGCGTCAGGCGTGGGAGAGAAAGACACGGAGTCAGGCGTGGGAGAGAAAGACACGGCGTCAGGCGTGGGAGAGAAAGACACGGCGTCAGGCGTGGGAGAGAAAGACACGGCGTCAGGCGTGGGAGAGAAAGACACGGAGTCAGGCGTGGGAGAGAAAGACACGGCGTCAGGCGTGGGAGAGAAAGACACGGAGTCAGGCGTGGGAGAGAAAGACACGGCGTCAGGCGTGGGAGTGAAAGACACGGAGTCAGGAGTGCGAGTAATGGAGGTGAGGGAGGAGGGAGTGATGACTTCAACACTCCACACGTATGCAGTGATGGGGAAGAAATAGGTGGTGGGAAGAGCTGAGGGTTTAGAGTACGCATAAGGGAATTGAAAGGGATGTGTCACGGTGGGGAGGATGCACTTCCCACCACCTCCTTGAAGCGCTATGCGGGTGAGGGGGAAGAGACAAGGCAGAGAAAGAGTAGGCCTAAAGGGATGTGTTATTGTGGGATGTGTCACGTTGGGGAGTGGAAAGTGGAGAGTCCAGATTTTACTTGAAGTTGCATACCGGGACACGCACATGCACTTAAGCTTCAGCACGCACTAAAGCACTGGCACATACTGGCACACTCGCCTGGCAGCACTGCACCGCACTGCACCGCACTGCACCGCACTGCACTGCACTGCACTGCACCGCACTGCACTGCACTGCACTGCACTGCACTCCCTCCCATGTGGTTTCACTGCACCTGCCAACGAAACACACGCACCTGGCCTGAAGAACGTGGAGAGCCCAATGGCTATAGCCATGAGCGGTGCGTCGTCCCCCGGGTGCAGCAGCAGGGAGTTCTCGAGCTTGAGATCCCGATGCACCCCACCCCACCCTGCCCTTCAGAAGGCATGCTGAGGACCGACACGTACACACCTTGCTCAAAGAATGTTGAAAGCTCGAAATCGATGGCCATGAGCGGTGGGCGTCCTCCCCCGTGTGCAGCAGCAGGAAGTTCTCGAGCTTGAGATCCCGATGCACCACTTCAGAAGGCATATTGAGGCTCAATATGTACATACCTGGTTGAAAGAAAGTGGACAGGCCAAAGTCGATGGCCATCAGAGAGGCGTTCTCCCCTGAGTGCAGCAGCAGAAAGTTCTCTAGCTTGAGATCCCGATGCACCACTCCCCGCTCATGCATGTACTGCACCGCCTGCACTATCTGCCGCACCATGCCGGCCGCGCGCTGCTCACTGTAGCTGCCCTCCGCCTTGATGCCATCGTACAACATGCCACCTGTGAAAAAGGGGAGGGAGGCAGGAAAGGCAGGAGAGGCAGCGGAGATGGATTCCTTGCCACCTGTCAGGTGCTCCCACACTTGCCTTTCCCCTGTCATATGCCGAACCGCATGGCTGGCAGGAAGAGATGCAGGGAGGCCGAATATAGCTTCCACTCTACCTCCTCTCCTCCTTCCCTCCTTCCCGACTTGAGGGGGAGGAGGAGAGGGAGTGGGAGGGGGAAGGGGAGGGGAAGGGGAGGGGAAGGGGAGGGGAAGGGGAGGGGAAGGGGAGGGGAAGGGGAGGGGAAGGGGAGGGGAAGGGGAGGGGAAAGGGAGACATTCCATGAAGGAATGGTCTGCCTGGGCTGGTAAGCCTGCCTTGTCTCATGCCCATGATAAGAGCATCTGTGATACGCCACATTCCCCCTTTTCCACTCCACCTGTGGTGCTGAACACAATCGAACACACCATCCCATCACACCACCCCACCCATCCAACATGCCACCCCTCCTGCACACCTGTGCAGAGCTGCAGAATGAAGTGCACACACGTGGCGTCCTCGTATTGGTCAATGAGCGTTGCAATGCCCGCATGGCCGGTGGAGAGGTGGGCGAGAATGGCCGCCTCCCGTGCCACGTTGGCACATGACGTGGGTGACAGGTGGCGCTGGTGGGAGGTGGGCAGGTGGGGAACGGTGGAATGCGGTGGACAGGCGGGCGAGAATGGCGGCCTCTCGTGCCATGTTGGATTGGCACATGGCGTGGCGGACAGGTGGCGCTGGTGGGAGGAATGCAGGTGGAGAGTGGTGGAATGGGGTGGAGAGTGGTGGTGCGTCGTGCCACGTAGGCACACAACGTGGGGAAGAGGTGGTGTTGAAGGGGAGTTGGGTCTGGTTGGAAACGGTGGGGTGGGGTGGAAAGGTGTGGGCAGGAGGCGGCCTCACCTTGGTGATGGTCTTGCAGGCAAAGTGCTGCTGAGTCTGGCGGTGCCTTGCCATGTACGTGATGCCATACAGGCCCCGCCCCAGCTCCTTGCCTGTAAGGGAGACAGGTGGGGTGGGGTGGAGTGCGGTGGATGGATGTATGCACACATGCCAAACGTTGAGTCACTCGCAGTGGATGCCTAATCGTGCCTTGCCATGTACGTGATGCCATACAGCCCCCCCCCAGCTCCCTGCCTGTATGGGAGCGAGGTGGGGTGGGGTGGAGTGCGGTGGATGCATGCACACAGGTACACATGCCCAAGAAGTGAGATGCCAGCGGTGCCTTGCAATGTACGTGATGCAGTACAGCCCCGCCCCAGCTCCCTGCCCCGCCCCAGCCCCAGCCCCAGCTACCCACATGCCCCGCCCCAGCTCCCTGCCCCGCCCCAGCCCCAGCCCCAGCTACCCACATGCCCCGCCCCAGCTCCCTGCCTGTATGGGAAAGAGGTGGGGAGGAGCGTGGTTGATGCACGCACACATGCAAACACGCACATATGCACATACGCCGCAGGCATGTATACATGCACGCACACATGTGTCAGAAGGGCAGTGGCGTCATGTGATGCGATGTGACGCGGTGTGATGCGATGTGATGTGATGTGATGTGGTGTGATGTGGTGTGATGTGATGCGATGCGATGCGATGCGATGCGATGCGATGCAATGCGATGTGATGTGATGCCATGCGATGCGATGCGATGCGATGTGATGTCATGTCATGTGATGCGATGTGATGTGATGTGATGTGATGCGATGCGATGCGATGTGATGTGATGTGATGTGATGTGATGTGATGTGTGCTCCCATACCCTGCCCACTCTGCTGGAAGGCCACACACATCCCTTCAAGCTTGCCTCCGCACCGCCCTTTCCCCATTCCTCCCCTCACCCATCTCCGTTCTCCCCTCACCTTTCTCACATTCATCCCCTCACCCATCTTCCATTCCTCCCCTCATTCATCTCCCATTCCTCCCCTCACCTTCTCCCATTCCATCTCCCATTCCTCCCCTCACCTATCTCATAATCCTCCTCCACTGCCCGAAACGGCTGCCCCAAAAGGTTCTCGGGCGCGCGGGGAGCGCCCTTGCGCGCTGCGCAGGACAACCGGGGGGCGGGGAAGGGGGGAGAAGGGGAGGGGCGCAGGAAGACGCACCTCGGTAGGGGAAGGGGAAAAGGTACGGGTGGAGTGAAGCGCGAGGTCCGGAGAAGGGGTGATTGGTCAGCGACGTATGAGCATCAGAAGTGAATGTAAATCTGGCGCTGCTTGGGAGATTTTGAATTGACGCAGTTATTTGCCCATTACTCTCGGGCCCCGTAACTTGACGGATGGACCCCCCCGTAAATCTCGTACTGCCTTACCCCCCCGGGACGGCGTGCTGCTCCTATCGGCGCGCAGCAAAGCCTCGCTGGAGAAGCACGCACCCATGCGCGCCGCGCGCGACGGTGACGGCGACGACGACGGCGACGGCGACGGTAAACAAGGACCGCCGCCCGGAGTCTTCAGGCAGGCAGGCGCGAGTGTTTTCGCATGGACTCGCAAGAGAAACGCGGCTGGGCGAGGCCAGGATCACGTATACTACAGGGTAAGCCAACTGAGTTGGTCGTGCCGCGGCGGACCCGGATGCGTCGAGACGGGCGGTGAGCGGGAGCGATATTGAGTAGTGACAGTGCGCGCATTGCGAGGGGCAATGCGGAAAGACGGTGGTGATGGAGCAGCAGAGACGTGCTGCTGTAGAGACAAGGACCGGCTTGGGGCGGTCATGGATGAAGAAGGGGCAATGAATCAGGTCGCATCGCAAGTTCGCAAGGGGATGTGGTGCACTGGGGTTGGTACAAGCAGGGAGGAGGGATTTTGATAACCAACTCTTTTGCACCAGTGAATGTCGCGTTCATCAGGAAGTGATGAAACTGTTTGCTTCTTTGCGGTGCAATGCGATGCGGTAAGACATTCGGGATTTAAGAAGATTACTTTCACGTTTTGGAACGTTCTGGTCTGGTTTGATTTCACTTCACTTCCGTGCATTCCTGCTGCGCTGCTCCATTGAGTGCGCGCCAGACAACTTTTTGTATGGATGTCAGAGTGTGAGACTGTGCTTGCCTGGATGCGACTGTATTGAGCAGAAACGAATATTCCGCTGACCGTCATGCGGGCTTCAGAAACTGATTGGACGAGTGATCCGCGGGATGGGATGATCTGGGCACAAATACAGTAAAATGGAGGCGATTTTGTGGTTTTGTGGACAGGTGAGGAGGATTGGCCGCTGAAGCCGCAGGCCTGACCGCAAAACGATGGGGGTGCGGCGGGTGAACGCGAAAAGCCGAACACGTGGTTTCGCTCACAGCGCACACGCTTGTGTCAATTCTACCAAACCACTGTCTCGACTACACGCACACAGAAAAGAAAAGAACCTTACATGTATATTGTATTCCCAAAACTTATTTCCTGACCATCCAAACTGGATGTTATTTCCTGTGCCAGCTTCACTATGTCTAGTACCGTATTGGCTGTTCACTTAAAACCCGAGGTCAGCATGGTAAATTTTCAAGTTATGTGGGGTTGAAAAAGTCTGGCGAAAATAATAATATCGTGTATTTTGGAAATGTGTGTGGGGCGAAAGCGAATTCAGGAGGTGGGTGAAACAGCCTTCGCCACGATACTATGCGACAGCTGTTTCCAAGGATATGGGAGGGCCGAACGACTCTGTGTGTGACAGAGCACTGCTCCAGCCCCACCACTGCTGCTGGCGCTTCTCTTGGGGTTGAAATCGTGGACAACGCGAAACTCACGCGAGTGAGAGAGTAAGGCAGTACACTGAACACTATTTTAACAATTTCTAATTTATTAAAATATCTGGATGCTTTTGAGACTTCACTTCAGAAAAGCACAACATTTCAAGTGCTGATTAGGTACAGAATAGCATTGCAAGCAAATTGTGAATTAAAAAAAAAATGAAATATCAAGAAACGCATTACCAATACATTTTGGGAACGCACTCTCTCAAGCTCAGATCCCTCAACTCATAAGGATCTCGGCCGGCCACATATCGACATGCCGTGCTGGTCCCTGCACCACTCTGCACTCCCCCGGCCCACAGCAGCGCAGACCTGACGTGCGCTGCCGCCATCATTTCTGCCAGCATGGTCTGCCCCCTCCCGCATCAATGCTCAGCGGCATCCTGCTAGGCAGCAGGGGAGGCTGAAGACAGTTTCGGGAGGAGGCTGCCTCACAGCTCCGCCAGCAAGCCTCAGGGCAGATCCACTCGAAGATCTGCAGGATGCGGTGCTTCGGTGGCCTGCCACGAGGAAGTGTCATATTTGTACCTCATACTCTCATAGTTCAATCTGTTGGGCTGAGATAGCCCCTTAGGATCTTTGCAAGGGATAACTCTAGGTGAAGTAGTTGTAATAGCGGAAGCGTTTAGTGAAGAATTTGAACCGACCTTGCACTGGTGTGTGAGAGCAAAGTTGATTGAATTAAACAAGCAAATACAAGGATTTATATAAGAGTACAGGGAACAGATAGATAACTGTATTGCTGTTGCGGTTCGATATAGCGCGACTCGGGCAACTGCTCTGTAACGAGTCAGTTGTGTGTCCTTAACTGTCGCGCTGTAATTGTCGAGTCAAAGGTCAGCGACCTTTGACTTTCTCGTAACCTCCAGGCGGTTACCCTAACCTCCGAGGTTGACTCGATGCTTCGATTGGGACTGCTTCGCTTGGTACCTTGGATTTTGATACGACAGAAGCGCACTTAGGACTTATTGTTTCCAACACTCCCCTTCGCTTCTGGAGTGTTACTGCTGGTGACGTGGCCTTGTCCAGTCAGCATCATGCAGTATTCGAACTTCTGCTTGCCGAGTTTCTTGGTCAAGTAATCGGCTGCCATCTCGGATGTTGGACAGTATGACAGATCGAGTTTCCCTTTTTCTATCTCGTCCTTCACGAAGAAATAGCGCAGGGCGATGTGTTTCGTCCTGTTTGCGAAGCCGTTTTTGTTGGCGATGCGAATTGCTGACTGGTTGTCGCAGAACACGGTGAAGCTGGGTAACTCGGCTAGCTTCGCTTCTTCCAGTAGTTCGCGAAGGTAAAGTCCCTCCTTGGTGGCTGAGCAGAGTGCAATATATTCTGCTTCTGCTGAAGATAGTGCGATTAACTCCTGCTTGCTCGACTGCCAGGAGATAGGACCGATAGGCTCAAGGCGGTAGACATAGCCGGTGCGTGAGCGCCTGTTGTCGGTGTCGCCGGCGTGATCGGCGTCGACGTAGCCGATTAGCTTAGTCGGTGTAGCTGCGCTCTTGTGGTAGGTTAGCCCGATCGTCGCGGTGCTGACGAAGTAGTGGAGAGCGCGATCAAGTTCCGCCAGGTGTTCAGCTTCAGGCTTCTTGAGATAGGTGGCGAGCTGACTTGCGGAGTAGGATAAGTCAGGACGGCAGGTGACGGCGGCGAATAGCAGGCATCCGAGCTTCTTCTGATAGTCGCGTATGCCGGCGGGCTTGAGTAGAGTAGTTCGTTCCTTCTCGGTTCCTGATGTGTAGCGGTAGGGCGTGGAGATGGCGCTTGGTGTGAGGCTGAAGCGTTTCGCGATGGTGTCGGCGTATTTCTCGGCGCTTAGATAGATGGCGTTTTCTTCTTCGCGGATGTTGAGCCCGAGGTACTGTGTAACGGTGGAGGAGACCGTGAGCGTGAGGTCTTTCTGGAGCTCTCCTTCGAACCACGTGGCGATGCCGTCGTTTGACCCAATGTAGAGGAGATCGTCCACGTAGACGATCAGGAGAACGTAGTCGCTTCCCTTAGTGAGGCGGTACATGCCTTGGTCGTGAGGTAGTTGACTAAAGCCGATGCGGATGAGACGGGCGTGCAGGTACTGCTGCCACAGTCGCGGTGCCTGCTTGATCCCGTAGAGCGACTTAAGTAGTTGACAGATTCGGTTGGGTTCGCCGTGGGAACCGTGCGGGAGCTCGACGTAGATTTCTGCATCCACAGGTGCGTAGAGGAAGGCATTCGCGACGTCAATCTGCCGTAACTTCTTCTTCTTCATGGCGGCAATGGCGAGGAGAATTCGGAGTGACGTGTGGCGGCTGACTGGAGCAAAGGTCTCGGTGAAATCTCGTCCTTGCTCTTGGTCGAATCCACGTACGACCCAGCGTGCTTTGAATTTTTCGATCGTGCCGTCTGCTTTCGTCTTGATGCGGAAGACCCATTTCCCGGTAAGGATGGTTTTGTTCCGTGCCACGCTTACGGGAACAACCTTCCAAGTGTTGCGTTCCTCTAATGCCTTCAGTTCTCTATCCATGGCTTCACGCCATTTCTCCCTGTGTTCCCCCCCCAGAGCCTGCTGAACCGTTGCAGGCTCCTTAGGAAGCGAGCTGCGTGTGTTCCCGTGGACTGCGGTGACGAGGCCGAGGATTTGCAGTCCAGTCTGTGAGTATCGAGGGAGTTCTGGATCCTCGGGATAAGCTGCTTCGTCTCCCGTTTCTGGGTCGGGCATGAAATTCGGCCCTACCCTTTCTGCTTCGTTGGTGTTGACTGTCACAGGTGTTACGTAACCATCGTCGGCGAAACGGTAGAAGATTTCGGCGTTGTTACTGTCGCGAGGATTATCCTCATCCATGGGCACGTCGACGGAGCAGTATGGGAGAGGTCCGGCTTCTTCTGAGGCGTTGTCGACGTTCTGTTCATCCCAGTCTGCTTCGTCCGCTGCTGACGCGAAGGCTCGGTCACCACGAAAACCACTGGTGAGGTCCCGATTCTCGTGCAAGTTGGCGAGGTACGTCTGAAGGGTGAGTCTTTCGTAGAAGATCACGTCACGTGCTGCTACTGTTTCCTTTGTGTGGACGTCGAAGATTTTCCATGCGTTGTAATTTTTCTCGATGCCGAGGTGTAGTCCCCACTGTGCCCGTTGCGAAAATCTTCCCGCTCGTGCTTCTGGGGGTCTGTACTGTACCATGCACCCGAAAACTCGTAACATTTTCGTGCTGCCCTGCTTCCCTGTCCACAGCAGATGCGGTGATGCGTTGTTCGGGAGTGACGACGACGACAACAAGTTGTGTAGCATGACAGCGTGGTCCATTGCTGCTGGCCACTGGTGGTTGGGTAGCCGCATGCCACGTAATAGTTTGCGCATGCTGTTCTGCAGGGTCCTGTTCAGTCGTTCTGCAACACCTTGCTGCTGATGTGCGTAGGGAAGGGAGAGGAGTTGCTTGATCCCCCTTTCCGCCAAGAACTGCTTGAAGCGGTGAGAGGTGTACTCGCCACCTCCGTCTGACTGGAAATTTTTCAGTTGTGTTCCAGACTCTCTCTCTGCTATCGGTAGCCAGGCGGCGAATGCTGCGAGCGCCATGTCGCGGCTGGGTAGGTTGCGATGCCAGACGTATCGAGTGGCGGCGTCGATGAAGGTGATGGTGTAGTTGTAGTTGACTTGTCCTGGCTCGCGATTGTAGAGGATGTCGCTGTAGACTTTTTCGAGTGGTGCGTACGCTGGAGCGCTCGGGTTGTGATGTGAAGCAAACGGTCGATGAGGTAAGTCAGCTTCGGGACATATAAGGCAAGTCCCTCGTGCCTTCTGGAGTTCTCTGCCATCGGGTAGAAGTAGAGAATCTTTGTCAAGGACTCCTGCTCTTATCGTGTTATTCAAAACCGTGTTGCTTGGATGTCCTGTTCGTGCGTGCCAGATCTCTTCAGAGGCGCGGTGTCCAGGTGAACGCTGATATGCGTCGGAGTTGGAGTAAAAGCTGGCGACGAGGTTGGCGCTTCGGTGGACTT